GGTCCGCTGCCCCTTCGCCACCTGTCTGTCCGCCCGGCACTGGACATACCATTGCGAGCCCGCCGCTCACTTCGGCCACAGCGACCTTCATGGCGAAACCCAGGCCGACGCGGCACAAGGGCCGCTCATCCCAACCATCGCGAGGGCCTTTTCAAGCACGCGGAGAGAGGCGCCCATCTTTGCCCCGCCCCTCGACCTGCAGATCTCGCCGCCCTACCTTCCCGCCGCCGGGAGCCCTGGACACGCTGAACCACGTCTGGAGCCCTGGACACGCTGGGAGCCCTGGACACGCTGGGAGCTCTGGACACGCTGGGGGCCCTGGACACGCAGGGGGCCCTGGCCACTTTGGGAGCCCAGAGCACGCCGGGAGCCTTGGGCGCGCTGGGAGCCCTCCACAACGGCACCCTGCGAGGGCAGCGGCGAAGGCAGAGCCCCCGCACTCACCACAGCCCTCCCGTCGAGGACTACGCCAGCAACTGCGCCCTCGACCCAGAGGAGGCGGCGAGGTCTGCGACCACGAGACCGAATGGAAGTCCTGCCGCGAGGCCGACTGTTCCGACCGCGAGCCCGAGACGTACGCGATGGAGGGCTTGGCCCCCCTAAACGGGCCACCGAAATGCGGACGATTCCGCAATGTCTCGCCTGCAGCGGGCACCGCGCGTGGAGCAATTTCGCCGAAAGCCCATACCACGCTGGATGGGACTAGCACCGCGTCGACCGATGCTGCGGCGTCGGCCTCCAGGGCACTTACAGATGGTGGCGCCGCACACGCATAGCCGAACTATGCTTTCAATGCGGCGAGTGCCCGATGACCCACCTTGCCCCCCTCGACGCAGAAATTGTTTGCAGCACCGCCTCCGCGTCCAATGTCGAGCGACCACCCAGTCTGTCCCGCGACCAGACGCGCCGGCTACAGGTTGGCGTCCAGAAAGAGGCGCGGTTCTCTTCTCCTTGATGCCAGGCCAGAGCGTCCCTCCAACCTTACCTCTTCATTCCTCCATGTCCTTGTCTCCCTCCCCCCGGGTTCCGCCGTCCCCGCGGCCGCCCCCCAGGGGCCCACTTCGCTGACCGCAGGCAGCATTCCTTCCCCTCCTCTCGTGCACAACCCTCCTCCGCTCTCATCGGTCAGCTCCCCAGTGGACAGTCTCACGCCCACGCTAATCGCAACCACTGCGCGGCCTGCACCCCATAGAACAGAGGGCCAGGTGCTAAACCCGAGAAGAATTTGCCCATAGCACCACTTTGGACCTCCAGCCGCGTTCCTTGCCACGCTTGCCCCCGGCGCTGGGTTCCGTGGAGGTCATTGGGGGGAAGACAAAAATCCAGAATATATTGGAAAAAATATTAGGAATCCTGTTACTTGTGCGGCTCAAGCTGCGGCTTAACAGTTTTAACGCCGTTCTCGCCCGTACTCAAGCTTTCTCCATACTCAAGCTCTCTCCATACTCAATCTTCCAGCTAGCTTTTGCCATGGCAAGTGCAGCACCGACGTCGCCAGCAGCCCGTGGCTCCACCCGCGCTCCAGGCACCCCGGTTGGGCACCTCGTCCAGGACCCCTGGGAGAACATGGCCAAAAAGCAGCGCTCTGGACATGGCCCTGACTCCCCAGCGACCCCGCTCCTCGGCGAGATGCGCGCGGAGGATCAGGGGTACGTGCAGATGCCTGGAGGCGACATGGACGGCCCAGCCGAGAGGGACGCTCCACCATTTCGCCAGCCGGATTTCGGCGCTGCCGCGGCCTCGTCGGAGAAGGACGATGAGCTTGTCACGATGGCTGGAATCGCTGCTCCCCTTCAGCAGCAGCTGGGCCCCGTGACTTCGGTGGTGGCAGATCTTAAGAAACGGTTCATGAAGCTCGACAGCAAAGTTACCGACTTGGGCACTTCCCTTGTGGGCCATTTGGACGACGTGGATGCGAAGCTGATCGATGCAGACCTGCGCATAGAGAAGCTTGAGAGCATGTACGCGGCCACGCAGGCACCCCCCAGTGCCGCGGATATTGACGAGAAGATCCAGGCGAGCATCCAGCAGGCCTTCGCGAGCCAGGCCTCGCAGCAGGCGCCTCTCACCAAGAACGTCCCGCTGGTCGACAGGAAGGCGGTCACCATGGTGATCGGCAATCTGGACTACTTCGGGGACTTTTCGAAGGCCGCCGATGGGTTGCAGGGCAAGCTCACTTCCTTGAAGGGGCCTGCGCCGTCGAACATGTACGTCAAGGGCGACTTTAAAGGCATCGTTTTCGCCGAGTTCTCTGACACCGCAGTGCGGGGCCAGGCGGCGGCACTCCTTCGTGGCGCGGCCCTCGCCAGCGGAGGCAAGGAGGTCTGGGCAACGGAAGACCGAGCTGCCAGCGAACGTGCTGCGAGGAACTTCTGCCTGGGCTTGAAGCGGGTTCTGAAGGAGGAGCGGCAGGTCCCGCATACCATCTCGTTTAACAACGCGGCGCCGTGCGTGCTCAAGGTGGGGGGCGAGCACGCGCTTACCGTGAACGTCTCCGGCAGCACCGTGGACTACGAGTGGCAGGGGGGCTGGGCAACTTGGTCCGAGCTCCACAACCACTCCTCGATCAAGGACCTCAGGAAGAAGTCGGACGACCCGCTCTCGCGGGCCACGCAGGGGCTCACAGGAGGCGCGAAGGGCTGCTCCAAAGGGCAACGGCCCCAGTAGGAAACACGGCACATGAGCGATGTTTCACCCGATTTCGCAGTCGGCCCTACTGCGGCCATTAACCATGATCGAATTCACTCTTCCGATTCTTGCCAGGCATGTTTACCAGCAGTCGGCGCTACTGCAATCATCCACCCTCCTCTCTCCCGGGCTCCCGAAGCACTGCACTTCCGAGGCGGCGCCCTGCGGCCGTGCACCCGGAAGCTCCGGACAGCATCTTGGAACGTTGAGGGCCTCACCGAGGCCAAGCAAGCAGAACTTGAATGGCACATGACATCCATGAACATCGACGTCATGTGCATCCAGGAGACACACAAGACCGGGGCAGAGTTCCCCCTTTCTGATGCCGGATTTCTCCTCGTTCTCTCCGGCGCGTCGGACCCAGACGATGATGAGACGGCGGGGGTCGGTTTCATCGTCGCGCCGCGCATCCGAACGTCCGTCGTGGGGTTCAGGCGACAGGACTCCCGGATGGCGCCCCTGAAGCTGCGAGTCAAAGGCGGCAAAATCATGATCTACACCACGCACGCTCCCCATAGCGGCAAGAGTTTCCAAGACAGACGGCAGTTTTACTCTAACCTAAGTTCCTTCATCGACAGCGGCTCCCGGCACGGCCCTGCCTTGGTCTTGGGGGACATCAACGCTCGGCTTCATCGCCGGTATCCGGGCGAAGAGCACATTATCGGGCCCTACAGATTCGGGGTCCCGGACGCGATCTACAACCCCTCGTCCAATCGGAGCTTCCTCGCCGAGCTATGCGTGAACAAGAAGCTGTTTATTGGGAACACTATTTTCCACGAGCCGCCGGAGAAGCAGATCACGCGCTACAACGTGGGCAAGCGGCCGTGCGACCACCCTTCCCCAGACAATTTTGGACAGATCGACTTCGCCCTGAAATCACAGGGTTGGACCCAGCACCTCACGGACGTGCACAGTGACCGTGGCCGGGCGCTGGCCTCGCACCATTTCTTGGTTTGTGCCGACCTCGACATAGAAGTGCCGCTCGACAAGAAAACTCGCACTCCGCGGCCAGATTTTCGAGCCCTCCGGAGCCCGATACGGGCGGCTGCTTTCGCAGAGGCCTTCGGAGAGGCGGCGGGGAGGGCGACCGCGGGCCTGACGGCGAACGAAATAGAGGCGACTATGCGGCCAGCTTTCCGCTCTGCGGCAGCCGCAACTATTCCGGCGAACGCGGCCTCGCCGAAGAGGCCTTGGATCTCGCCCCACTCCCTCTCGCTGATCGAGCAGAGAACCGACGCCCGCCGCTCTGGGCGGACAGACGAGGAGCATCGCCTGCATGTGGAGGTGAAGCGGTCGGTGAAGAACGACAGGTCGATCCGGCTCAACAACTTGCGCGAGACGGGCGACTGGGACCAGGTCCGCAAACTCAGAAGAGGCCGCGCATGGGCGCCTACGCGGGATGGACGGCGAAGTGGTGCAATCAGATAGGAGAGCCGACGCGATGGCCGACTACCTGTGCGATGTTCAATGGGCCCCACGCGCTACGACGCCGATGGCACCTGCCCCGATTGGCCCGGAGCTGGAAGTCCAGACCGGTGACATCACAGAGGAGGAGATCATCGATGCAGCGCGACGCATGCGATGGCGCAAGGCTTGTGGCCATGACGGCGCCCCCGGGGAACTGTGGAAGGCTATTTGCATGCACGCGGGGCCGGGGAGGGAATGGGCGCTAGCCCTGTGTCAGAAGTGCTGGAGAGACGGCTGCGTCCTGGACGCCTGGCACGAAGCCCTCGCAACTGCAATCTTCAAAAAGGGGGACGTGTCTCAATGTTCAAACTACCGGCTTATCTGTCTGTTGCAAGCCGGATATAAGATGCACGCCATGATCATCCTGCGCCGCTTGAAGGACGCCGGCGCGGAGGCCAGGATCTGGCAGACTCAGTTCGGCTTCAAGTCTGGGCACGGGACGGCAGATGCCATATTCTTAGCGCGGCGCCTCTTGGAGGAATCCTGCGCGTTGCAGGGGCCCCCGCTGGTGCTGCTCGCGCTGGACTGGGCCAAGGCGTTCGACAGCGTGATGCCAGATGCTCTCCTCGAAGCGCTGCGCCGGTTCGGCCTGCCGCGGGAGGCGCTGGCCGCCGTGAGCGCCATCTATTCTGCCAGGAGCTTCGCGGTGAAAGAGCGCGGGCAGATTTCGGCGTCGCGAGAACAAGGAGCGAGCATTTGCCAGGGATGCCCGTTATCGCCTTTCCTCTTCGGGATGGTCATGACGGTGCTCCTGCACGACGCAAAGAACAGCCTCGGTGACCTGGCAGGACTGGTGGACGAGTTGGTGCACGCGGACGACGCGCTCATCGTCGCGAGCGCACCCG